AGTTTCAAGGAGAAATTAAAGGAGGTTATGGGGCCATGTCTAGGCCCATTTAGACCTTCCTAAATCTATTTATGAGGAAGTGATTTCGAAATTCATACAGATAGATTAGGAAATTATGAAGGGATATTTTAGTCATACTTGCTCATATATAAAAACTCTTTTCTCCTCTCTCTCTCTCTCTCTCTCATTATTTTGGATGTGCTCTAACAAAAGGCTGGCCAACAAGGCAAGGCTCTCCAAGGTCCAAATATTCTCCTTGCTTGGTGTAAGTTTCTTGAAGTGATCATTCAATTTTCTCTCTTGTTTGACTTGAAGAAAAAATACCCGATCTTGGTGGAATATAAGGATTGAACTTGAGAGTATGCATTGAGGGCTCAAGAAATGAGCACTAGGTTGCTTTTAGGAAATTAGGTTTACATTAAATCATCATTTTTCCTCATCTTCATCGCTTCTCATCATTTCCCCTTCATTTTCCTTCATTTTCTCTCTCTACCCCACCATTTCGTCCACTTGCTCACTTTAGGATTTATGTTTTTTTCTCTCGAGGTCATCCTTTCTCTCTCTAATTAGTCCTTATAAAGAAATCACACAAAAAAAAGGTCATCCAGTTCCTCGTCTATCTTCGTTGTGAACCACCACTCCGCCACTGACCCACTCTGCCGCTCCTCACATCGCTTGTCCATCGACCACCACTGTCCGCCGACAACCGCCGCCTTCCCATCGCCAGCCGCTGCACGTCCGCCGACCACCACTGCCGCCTATCACCAGTCGCCGTGCACTCGCTGCTGGTCATTGCGTGCCTGTTGCCCTCTCTCTCTCTACCCTTTCGGATGTAACTAAAAGCCCTAAATTTCGGTTAAGTCCAAAAACAGTCACGGGAGATCAGCGACCCACCCGCGCTGCCCCCCCCCCCCGACCCGACCGTCAACCGCGAAGGTAAGTTATTTTATTATTATTTCTTATTTTACTTTTGCATTGAAAAATAAAATAAATAATTAAAATTAGAAACAAATACTACACAATAAAATTCTAATCATTACCTGTATTTTCTGCACAAGTAAATTCCAGAAAAATTATATTAAACTCTATAAAAATCCATAAGAATAAAATTTAACTCCCAAAGCTATTTCTACCATTTCTAGGCCTCAAACAATTCTAAAATTAATTTTCTGTTCTTGTGGATTGACCCCTTACTTGCCCTATGTTTGATATAGAGTAATTAAGTGGATTTTTTCTTAATTATTTTTGGTTAAGTTTGAATTAAAGTGACACCAAATCATTAAAATTTGGACTTATTAAATGCTCATTAACTAATTGAAAAACTCTAGACATATTTTCATTGATAAAATATGTTCAAACTAAAAAAATATGAGCTGAAGTATGATAGAAGGTCAAAAGTATAAACTCTAGATGGTAACTTGTCAACATAATATTAGCATAATGACAAGTCAAAAAATCTCTTCTAAATAAGACCTTAAAGAAAAAAATATTCATTGATCAATTACAAATCTTCATACAAGATATCATGGATAATAATCACCACAATATAATCTTAGAAACAAAAAATAGTTGAATGTCACAAGAGTGCTGGTGAAGCAACATAAGTTTTTAAAATTGATATGATCATTTTTAGATGCTAAAATGACAGAAATTTAATGGGCTTATATCTAACATAAATGACTATTCAAGATTGAAGAGATTTTAGATTGGTTACTTGAAGTAAAACATTTTTTTGAGTACATGAAATTTTTAGATGAAAAATAAATAAATCTATTAACTTATAAATTGAAAGGTGGAGCTTTTGCCTGATGAAATTAATTACAAATCACATTTATAAAGTCAGACAAAAAGCTTTATAATCGTGGGAGAAAATAAAGAAACTTTTGAAATCTCATTTTCTTTATAATCATGGGACAAAAAGCTTTTCGCATCTAGTATCAATAGTATCAGAATTATAGACCAGGCACTAGATCTATTTCTATTTTTGTAGAAGATTTTTATCATTTATCTTCTCAAATCAACTTAAGAAAATCTAAGTCATATATGATTTCTAGATTTAAAGGTAGTCTAAGATGAGAAATTAAAGACAAAGTAGTTTTATAGTCATTTTTCAAACTTAAAAATATTGTAATAATAGTTTTCAATTTTGAAAATAAGGATTCAACTCTTCAACTAGATAGAAAAAAATAAATTATTGTTTCTTCCACACCACAAACTAGATGATTGAATTAAACTTTTGTTAGATCAAGTGGAGCATTTTTTTTTGCTCGTCTCTACGAACAAAAATCTTTATACTCAATGTCATTCTTAAATATTGTAGTGGTGAAAAAAATAAACATAAATCAAATATTTATTCAAAATGTGGCATGGTAAACTTTATGTATTATATCGAAGGCAAAATAGAATATAAAGAGCCAGAAATTGAAGGTGAGATAATTTTTTTATTAAAATTAATTCTAGAGATGCACTATCAAACTCACTTATAGTAAGAAGATTGACATATGCAAAAAAACAAGAAGAAGATCCAGAATGCCATAACATTTTCAAAACAAAATACATTGTGGATTCTAAGACATGTGATATAATTATTGATAGTGACAATAATGAGAACATCATCACTTCAGTTATGATTTGAAAATTAGGCTATAGATAAGTCCACACCATTATTTATACCAAATTGGTTGGATCAAGAAGGAAATGAAAACTAGAGTTTCTAAGACCTCTTTGGTCAAGTTTTCTATTGATAAGATTTATTCTAACAAAATATATTGTGACATCATTGAGATAGATGTTTGTCACATGATATTAGATTGATTATGGTAGTTTGATGTTGATGCTTTGCACCATGGTAAGAAAATTATTTACGTCTTCTATAGAAATAGTAAAAAGTTTTTTTTGAGTATAATGGAAGACAATAATTTTAGTAAATGAGAGAATGAGAAAAAAAATAATGTTCATCAACTAGAAGTAGTTCTTTAATGAGTTGAATATTAATATTGAATAATTTGTAATTATCTAAAAGTTTAATTCAAATGTCAAAATAACTAGTGTGATACCAAAAGTTGTTGAATGTTTATTATTTAATTTTTTGTTAATTCAAAAATTATCTACTCATCCTTCACTAATGTGAGATGAACAACATCTTATTGTATTAATACTTGGATCTGGTTTGTCTAACTTTCAATATTATAAGATGACCTTAGAAGAAAATCAAATTCTTCAAAAATGTTGAAGAGTTATTGAATAAATTATTGATAAGATAAAGTATGAGCATATTCTCCATCTATGCTTTACTTATTCTAAATAAAGATAGAAGTTGGCATGTGTGTCAACAATAAAGTTATCAACAAGATAATAGTTAAGTATATCTCAATTCCACACAGGGATGACATGTTGTATATGTTTTATGAATTTAAAATTTTCTCAATAATTAATTTAAAGAGCATATATCATCATATCTAAATTCGACTTGGAGATGAATAGAATATTACATTTAAAATCAAAACAAGTTGTTATAAATGATTAGTCATGTTTTTTAGTTTATTGAATATTTTCAGTACATTTATGAGAGTAATGAATCAAGTTTTGAAACTTTTTATTAGTAAATTTATTTTTATTTACTTTAATGACATTCTTATTTACAGTACTACAAAAGAATAATATATTAAACATCTCATATTAGTGTTTAAAGTGTTACAACATAATGAATTATATATTAAACTGAAGAAATAGAATTTTATGATTACTAATTTGTTATTTTCTAGATACATTGTAAGTGTAGATTAGATAAAATTAGGTGAAGAAAATGTTAGAACTATCAAAGATTAATCAACACTGACTACAATTTATGAAGTTTAAAGCTTTCATGGATTAACATCATTTTATAAAAGATTCATCTAAAATTTTAGCTCAATAGTGTGTCAAGTTATTGAATATATGAAAAAAATTAATTTCAAATGAACTAATGAAGCTAATAACAATTTTTCCATGGTGAAAGAAAAATTATGTTATACTCTTATTTTAACCCTTCTAAATTTTAGTAAATTATTTAACGTGAAATATGATGTATTTATAATTGGTGTCAAAAATGTCCTGTAAGAAGGTCAACCAATAATATTTTAAGTAAAAAAATAATAATATAATAAATAAATAATATATGTGCTTTACAAACATGAGAACACTACTTGATGTAATGAGAATTTATTTTATATACTAATCATCAGGATCTTAAGTCAATCAATAGTTAGACATTTATCAATATAATGGATGCTAGATGGATCTCTTTCATTCAACATTTTACTTTCATTATTAAACAGAAGTATGAAAAATTGAATCAAGTTGCAGATATTTTTAATAAAAAAATAACATATTTGGTGAACCTATGTGTTAAGATCACATGATATCACATGTTAAGTCAACCTACATGTCATTTTTAATAAAAAAAGAACTTAGTGGATGATGATTTTTCTCAACAATATATGACATGTATGTCTAGTTTATCAATGAAAGGTTTTCACCTACATAATTACTTCTTATTTTGAAGAATATAGTTATTCATTTTTTACAACTCTCTAAGCTAAAAATTACTATGAGAATTATACCTTTTAACCTTAGTACAATATCTTGATCAAACTAAGACCTTAAAATAAATTAAAGAATGGTATTATTGACCCAAACTAAAGAAAGATGTAGAAAATTTTATTTACAAATATCAAGTTTGTCAAACCTACAAGGAACATAGCAAAAATACTGAATTATACACTTCATTGTTGATTCCACAATGTCCATGACCTGACAGACGTATGAACTTTATATTAAGTATGTCGCAAATGATGCATACCTAATATAAATGATGCTAGTGAAGTAATTATGTAGCAAATGATGCAAGTAAAAAATAATAGATTTCATTACATGTAAAAAAATAAATGATGCAAGTCAAGTAGCAAATCACTTCTTCAAAGAAATTATTTGTCTACAAAGAATTTTTGACTTACTCACATATGACAAAGATTCTAAGTTTATATCTCACTTTTGCTGAAGTCTTTGGAAAAGATTTAGCACATTTTAAAAATTCAATGGTATTAGCCACTTATAAATTGACGAAAAAACAAAAGTTGTGAATAAAACTATTAACAATTTGATTTATTATATTTTAAGAGAGAAACCAAAATAATAAATTATACTTTCACTCAAATAGAATTTACTTATGATTTGATGATTAATCATTTAACTAACTAATCTTTATTTTCCTGTAAGAACTTTATTAGAACTATTATAAATATTGAGACTAGTTAAAACTAACATTATCATAAATAATATAGTAGATTATATTAAAAAAATCATAAAAGTTTGATAAACATTCTCACAATCAATTAGGAGAAATATACAACAACAATAAAAAGGAAAATAAGAAAGAATATGTTTAAAGTTAAAAATAAAGTTATAATATACCTTATAAAAAAATGATTCCCAATAAGTAACTACAACAAGTTAAAACCAAAGAAATATAGACCACACAAATTCTACAAAAGATTAATGACAATTCATACCTTATCAAGCTCCCACTAAATATGACTATTTCACTCACATTCAATGTCAATGACATATATGAGGTTTATGATAATTTAAATGATGACTCAAAGATGAGTTTTTTTGAAGTAATAGAGACTAATGTAGCCCAACACACAAGTTGAATTCACAACTTCAAATTTAGTACTAATTATCTTAAATTTAAGCCATCAAGTAAAGAGTTTTGAAAAATAGCCAACATATGTCACAAGTGGTCTAGAGGTTTGAAAGTAATATTTTATTCCTTACTTTATGTCTTTTCACTTCTAAAAAGTATTTTATATCCATCACAAGTGATTTAGAGGTTTGAAAGTAACATTTTATTCCTTACTTTATGTCTTTTCATTTCTAAAAAGTATTATATGTATATTTCTTTTTATAAATATATTTAAATAGTGTTTAGAATATGTACATAACATATATTTAAAATATCTAACTATCAAAAATTGCACCTAAGATCTATTCAAGATCTTCGACTGTAATGGACTCTTTAAAGTTAGTCTAAAATCTGTCAAGAAGATTTGTCTAAAGTCTCAACCTCTCAAAATTTATTTTGGGTCATTTTAGAATTAGTTAGACTATGTCCCCAAAATTTATATAGGATCCTCTCTTTGAGAGTGTCCCACCTTCTTTCTAGGCCTATATAAAGGCCCCCATTGTAATATGAGGTTAACACTATTTAAGTTGAATCCATTTTCTCTACTATGAGAATCTTTCTTTTTTGCTTATAGATTCAAGGGTTAAAGAATTAAAATTTATGGATTTAGAGCTTGGTTTATTCTCCAAGATTAGAGCTTTTTGGATTCAAGCCCCATGTCTTATTTATCCTCTACAGTATTATTGTGTCATGTTAGGTGATAAAAATTCAGGATAAAGAATATTAAGACCCAACTACCTCATATTATCATTTTTATAACTTTTTAGGTCTATCTAGAAATCTATAAAGATTTATGTATTCTTCAAAATTTTACGTACTATTATGTTACACAACATGTGAGCTATTTATTCCATTCAACTCCCACTCATTGTGGTGTAGAAATAGATTTAATGTCAACCAAGAATGCAGTCAAAAAAAGGTTTTGATTAGCAACTTCAAATGATCAACTCATTAATGTTTTTAGTCTAGTTGGAATGTTAAGTCTAGACGTTAACAAGATTCTATCTCAATTTCTCAAGGATAATATGATAACTTTATATCTCTTTATTATGTTGGAGTTAAGGGTTTTGATATTGATAATGAATCATATAAAGTTAAAATAAAAGTTTTTACCAAATATATTTCAATATGTTAATCTAATATTTAAGATCTAAATTATGTGATCTATTTTACTTTGTTGTGTAAATACTTTTACATGCATCATAGGAAGAAAATAGATGTCAACAAGTAGATTTGCAAAAAATAAATCATATTAGAGCAAAAAGAAAAAGATTTAATTCACTCATCGCCACAATTGATAAAGAAGAAATATGACAACCCATAAAAAGAACATTTCTACTCGTCCTTATTTGGAGAAAGAAAAGTATGCCAGCCTATGTACTAAACTATGTGTCAACCTACTAAACTCCTTTCCTTTTGCAAATGTGTTTACCCATTTGAGAAAAGATTGTATTGACCTATAAATGAATCCCAGAAAGTGAGACCAAATCTTATGACATAGAAAAGTTGATTTTCTAACATCGTATCTTAATTAGTTAGCATATTAAAGATATATTAGAAAAAAAATGATTGACATGTAGACAAACTAACTAAATCAAAAGCTTAGTCAAATTGACAATTGACCCCATAATATGATAATGAATCGATATATATGTTGACTCATACAATTTTTGACCAACCTTATCCCAAAAGATTTGATTTTCAATGATCAAGATTTTGAGCCATGTGAATAATATACCCTAAGAAGCCTTTAACAATACCTCAACTATCAATTATATCATCTTACATGTTTTGAAATGTATTTTAAAAGTCTTTGTGTAAACTCTTATCACTTAAGCTGTCTCTAACAATTAAATTGTCAGAAATGCAAGGAGACTATCATTCCAACATTGAAACAAAAGTGCAAACTCTCTAAATTTTATTTTTGGTATGAAGCAATATAGTGGAATGCTTACACCAAGGGTAGAAAGATAAGCTAGTCTTTTATATCTAACATGACTTAAGAGACATGTAAAATCTGCCACTTAAGAGATTTGTTGATGTTGTGAAGTTTAACTAAATATATTTGAAGGAAAATAATGGAAACAAAGGTAGAGAATTTTATAAATTAGATGTATACATATTAAATTATTATATATCTCTATTTTTGGCATATGCTATACTTTAGTGTGTAGACTCACTATCTAGACTCAATATCTTCTATGTTGACCTTTAAAAGATTATGTCAACCCATTATATCTTAAATTAGTAGTAACATTTTTAAATCACTCACAGATAGTAAAAATAAAAATAATTATCTACTATTCTTCATGTCTAATCTTTTATCTGCTACATAGGAACAAACATATTTATCTTGCACGAACAAGTTTATCACAATCCATTCACTCTCTTCTCTTCTTGTCTATTTTTCTCTTCTTTCTCCTTCTATGAGTTTCTAAAAATGATGTCAATCTATTAGTGACCCTTTAAAAATGTGAGACACTTTAGTAGCTTTCTTATCAAACCATAACACGTTAAAGAGACAACATAATAGATGACAAAGAGTTCAATCTTAACATCAGTACCTTTTTCCATCAATGTTTTGTTTGCTTATGATATTTTCAATTTATTCATCCTGGGTGAACCTAAACAAAAATATAAGTTTGGTTTTTCAAGATCCTGGCCATGATCCTTATTCATTGTTTTAGGTTCAAACTTCTTAATATTACCAATATGAAGACCAAAATCAGTAACCACACTAGCTTGAAAACATAAAAAAATTGACAACAAATGTTGAAAGACTCTGATGAACTTGATTAGAGGTTAGTTGTGTCATTTTGATGTAATCAAGTTCCTATAAATAATATTTATAAAACCTCACTCTTCTATTTGAGATAAGTAAGAGTCGATCATCAAGGAGTGTGAGAACTAAGAGTAAGAATTTTACTTAATTTATTATATATATATATATATTTAGATATACTTGAGATTGTGAAGGTGAAATTAAATTTAAAAAGAATGAAGACAAGAGAAATGAAAAGTGTGACAAAAGAGAGAGAATTGATCTAATACAATAAAATGATAGAATAAATGATAAAATTAGTTTGAAGTAAGAGTTAATCTATCTATAGAGAAGATTACAATGACACCCAAAATCTAGATCTTGCATATACCTTGTTGTGTGTTAGTTATAGGCTGAATGGTGTTTAATCTGTAACGATCTTGATGTACTCTAGGTTGTCTCTTCTCCACAATGATTTTGAGAACGAGAATGTCATTGATCGAGCCTTGATTTTCTTTTTCTTTTGATTAGTCACTAATGTGATTCAGTCATTGTATAATAAATCACGCAAATTTAAAATTTATAATTTTTCAAATATTTAGAAGTATTTCTGAATAAATATATCAAGTATAATTCAATAAAACTTTCAAAAATAGTGATAAATTTCTAAATTCATCACAAATAAGGAATATAATATCTGGTAATTATTTAGAATTTTATTCTAATAATAATATTTTTTTATGAATTTTATACTAAGAAATAATAATAAAAAATATTTACGAAAAAAGAAAATAAGGGTGCAGACATCAAGATGACGTCAATGCCCGACGAACAAGAATCGAACGGAAATAGAATTTCACTCAACAATTCTTATGTAAGCGATACATACGATTTAATTGATCAAATTAAGATCTGTAAAAGTCAAAAGAATTATAATGAAATAAAATATATCTTAGTAAATTTAAAATTAATAAATTATCACTAAATAAAATAAAAATTAAGTTGAAAGCAAGAAAATAGAGTTCTAACATCACGGCGGTGATGCGTCGGTGATGCACCAAAATCTTGAGTGTTTAGGAAGATCATTATATAGTGTCCACGGCTTTAAAGGCTTTCTTTGGACAAAGATGACGTAGACAATATCTAGATCTTCTTGCGAAGTCTAGAAATTAATGAAATGGGTTGTCGAATTGTCTTCGGCAGCTGTCACCCAACGGAGTAGAAAAACGGTGACTTTGCGGCTCCCTAGTGGTTGTTACTCGACGAAGAGGAGCTGAATGGAGGTGGGGCACGTGTTAGGAAGCTTCATCCTTAAGTCCGCGTAGCAAAAGAAGGTTCTTCATCGCATCTGATATGCTCTCAAGAGGTGGCGACTCGTCTCCTGACGGATCGTTCTCTTTCCGATGACGACTTGTTTGTTGATTAATCAGAGATGCTTTACTCAATGGATTCACGATCCTTTTATCGTGAATCGTTCAGTAATTTTAGTAACAATGCTCCACGAATCACGTTGACAAGATTTTTGCCGATGATCCAGCAATTCTAGTTGCTTAATCCTTCACCGGTGATTTGTAGAAAAGTTGCGATAATCAAATAAAATAATAAGAGTTTTGGCTCTAAGAGGATTCGAACCCCCACCGGTTGCCCGTTCCTTTCTGAGGAAGGTGTGACGCAGGTTTAGTCCCACATCAGTTGTGCGTCAATTTTTTGGGCAAGTATATACTAATATTACATTTCTAAGCAAGTCTCTTCTCTCACATGTACGACCACTCCTTACCTCACAGCCGGTTGGCCACTAGTGACATAGAAGGGGAGTGGTACACACGTGCTTCTATCAGTCTAAGTTGCTCAAGCCCCTACTCATGGCTACTCCCCAATTGTGCTTCCGACCTGCTCACAGGCCTGGCTAGCCGGCGGGTCCCCCCATTTTGTAATATTTTTATTTTTATTTCTTTTTCTTCATTTATCTCAAAAGTAAGACTATAAAAAATCATATAAATTTATATAAAATCACATAATTACCTAAAAATTCACATTAATCAATTGAAAACTACTTTTCACACTTTAACATAAATATAAGTCTATTTATCATGAGTTAAGATAAAAATAAATATAAGTTTATTTATCATGAGTTAAGGCTAAAATTATATTATTTACTAATTATTAACTCATGATAATGAAGACTTATCAGTCACTATTAGAGAGAGAGCTAAAAAGAATCCTTTAAGAGGAAGGGTAAGATACCTTAAACTTTTAGAGAATTAGGTCTCTCTAATAGATAGTTTTGATTAATAACTAACTCTCTTAGTAGATGACTCAGATTCTTCTATGAGGGCGACACTCTAATCCTCTTCTTAATCTCATTTTAAGGCATCCTAAGATGAATAGCCTAGATCTCATATTTTGATAGCCTTTTTAAGTCTCAATGGACTAGGCCAAGATGTCACCTCTTTTGGGCCCATAATCATATTAGGCTCTCTCCATAAGACTTAAGCTTTTCTTTAGGCTAAAGAATTAAGCTTCTTCAACTACTTTCAACTCATAGTAAGAGTTCACCTAGGTTTTTGCAATCAAATAATATCAAAAAAATATGAGAGAATCACCACTTGACTTCATAAAAGTCAAGTGAGTTTAGTCTCATAATATAAATAAAATAATAGACATTAATACTTAAAAAATAAAATATTATAAATGTCATAATAAGTTGATAACACATATAATTATATTTTTACTCATTAATTAGCATTTCGATATAAGATATTAATATATAGGTATAACTACTAATTTATAATTATCAATTTCAAAAGAAACTCAACCCAAGTTTCAAACAAATAAGATATTTTGATATCAATATATTATTTATTTAACATGAACGAAAATATGTCTATTAGTAATATATTTACTATGTTTAATATATAGTTAATTGAGTTAAAATCTTTGGAAAAACTACTCAAATATAAACTTTGAAAAAATTTTAGGATCATAAACTTAGAGTTGGAAATTCGAGGTTGCATCTATAGAAGAATCTAATGACCTAAGCATAGTGTCATCATATAAACTAATGAGATCACTACTAACCAGTTAAATATGTCTCTAAAAAAGAAAAACAAAACTATACATGAAGTAGATGAAAACTAACTCAAAAGTCTGGCTCCAATGAAGATCACAAAAAAATTGCTCTACTCTTTAGAAAAGTCAAGAATTGTTTGAAGAAAAAGAGAAATGAGAGATTTAGAAGATCACCAAGGAAAAACTAATGATACAACATAAATTAAGAGACATTTGAGACTCAAAAAAAGAGAAACCAGCGCCCTTCAACATCTCTCATAACATGTTCTACGCTGTTAAAAGCTAGATCCAGATGAGGTGTGTGATGCATAGCTAAAAAAATGCCAGTCACTATCTGAATGACTAAACAAATACCAGCTAACGGACTGAACCCCCACCAATAACTAAGATTGCTCGGGGTTGGATGATCCATCAAATGCTGGTTAAGTGTAGAGGCTATAAGTTGTTTAAGAGGAGAGAATTGTTGGTTCCTTATAGTCATTTCTCTTTTCTATCGGCTGTAGGTTGTGACAACTCCTGTTCCCCCTTATTCACCCCGAACTTGATGGAATTTGGCTTCGCTGCACCCTGAATTCATAAAAAAACTGCATGAGAAGATTCATCTCATTTCATTTTGGCGAGAGGGAGGCAGTGAACCACCAGGGCTACTTATTTGTCAGTTGGTTGATTCTCGACGAACTCATTCAGAGCAAACTGTCAGTTTCTTAAGGCTTAAACTTTTCATTAAGAAACCAATGAAAGATAAGTAAGGAACTCCTTTCACTTAAAAGTTTTGGCTGCGCTACCTACCCCTTGAACGTCGATTTCAAAACAAAGAAAGAACTCAAATGAAAGCAACACTCTTTGCTTGTTGTCCTATTACTCTTTTTGCCTGCCTTGTGGAGCTTCGGAAAGGAGATAATGTAAGAAAAACACTCTCGGAAACTCTTCTTGGACGAGAGAGAATCATTATTATATTGGCGTTGGTTCTACCAACGAAACGAATAACTTTTTTGTCTTTGTCATTCGGAAGGCCCTATTTTGTTGCTGGCCCACACCCAGACTCTGACTTCAATGGTGGGAACAACCTCCGCACTCCGGCGTGAACATGAACAACTTACGAATTTAAGAATAGTTTTAAATCTCTCGGAAGTGACATTTGTCACTTAATATGTTGTTTCACGCGGTGATCTTCTATCTTTCCAAGTTCCCTATACGTAGTCTATGTCCGGGGAGACAGGTGCAGTAGAGAGGACCCCCACTTCGATTCCCGTCATGTTAGCATCTCCGATCCGAGTCCATTAGATCTTTTCTTTCGGTTTGGAGCCGGACGGTAATGGACCTACAACCCTTGCTTGTGGACCAGCTGCGACCTTTGTTCTATTGGGTTTGGTGGTTGCTACTAAGTCGATTTCTTTATGCCCTAAAAAGAACCTAGAGATGCTAATCCACGACGATAGGAGAAATGCGAAAGAACAACTTGTGGAAATACATCGGTTTCTTGCTCGTGCAAAGGAACTCTTTCTTGGCAACTTGGACAACTTCTAATGATGTTTGTATCGCATATAAGATGGGAGATCGGGATCTTTACAACAGGTATTGTAAATAAAGCTTTCGTCTCAATTCATATTTAACCGCGGGCAATCTATGTTTGTGATCTCATATATTTAGCTTCTCCGGCATCTTACTGACTTTCCCCCTCATCTTTTTGTAAAAAGCCGCTCCACGGTGGTAACGTCTCATCTTTTGTCTTGGCCGAAGTGACAATAGTCACATTGAATCCTCGAATACACTCGAAGATCTCGAAATGATCTTCCAGTTCCGGTGAGAATTCACAAAACTCCGTTTCCATCGAGAATTGAATGGGGTTTTCCCGTATTTCGACCGGAGAAGCTAACAGAGACATTACTGTCGAGATTCTGACAAAAAAATGTGACATTCCATGCCCTCGGAGAGTGCTTTGTCGTGCAAAGTCACTGATATATCCAGTGTCTTTTTCGGCCCTAAAATTTGATCAAAACAACTTTCCCGCTTTGAAAAAGGGACCCCTTTTAGGCTATATGAATCTCTGGCCGCACGGAATCTCCATAGCCAATTTTCCATTTTTGATTCTGAAAGAAGAGCTTGGTACTAATCTTATTTCACACAATCCTGGAACTTCCATAACGTTGGCGTGATTCGGTTTGAGCAACAGATCTTGGCGTGATACATCTTCGTAATGAAAATGGAGTGGAAACATTTTCTTAGTTGTTCGGTTAAAATAAGCACTGTGAACTATCCGCTTCAAAAAAGGATAGTTGATCGAACTACTCTACTAATTAGAAATTAAGTACAGTACATAAGGGGGAGTTTAAGAAGGAAGAGGGATAAGTCATCATTCAATCAAGGATCACGGAAGGAATGAGGAAGATAAGGGCAAAAGATGAGGAAGAGCGATTCTTTTTAAGAGCCAACCATGCGTTCACAGTCGACTCAACAAGAGCTATCGGGTTACTCCCTGCCATAAGCCATGCCCTTACTAAACTGCTACCACTCACTACACACCCAACAAAGGACCCCCCCGCGTCTAAAGCTACTAGACACTAGAGAGTCTTGAAAGCACCTGCACAAGGCTATCGTCTACCCATTCCATCCATCATATCAGTCGAGTCGATCCGATTCGTTCTTATCTATAGATAACGTAAGAGAGAACTTTGACCTCACGGATGGAGAGGGATTCGAACCCCCGATATTCCTATCAATACTTCGGTTTTCAAGACCGACTCTTTCAACCGCTCAGACATACATCCCGTAGCTCTCTTGCCCTATCTACCTGCGCGCTGGCAGGTAGGGGCAACTCTATGTGATTCGCTACACTTGTTTGCGCCCCACCTCGTAAGCTGACTCTATTGCCTGCCGGTTAGCGACTTCGGTAGTACGAATCGCAACGCTTCGCTTGTTTCAAGACAGAAGGCACAAGCACATCTGTTAATCAACCTGCTCCTGGGACCGTGCCTCAGGAGAGGCAGCTGGGCCATCTAATCCTCTCGCACCTCATTCTGATAAACCCGATGAAGTGATTGGGGGAGAGTTTCTTCTCGACATTGAAGCGCGCCTTTTGTTTTACAACAAGTTTCCTACACCCATAGACTATCTGATAGCAGGTATGCAAGCAGAAGATCTCTTCGAAGTGAAGGTCGAGATGGACCATGGCCAGCCTTGACCCAACGGTCACTTGGCTGGAACTGAGAGCTCTGACACTAAAAAATCCCAGTCCCAGACCGGGGGAATACGATAGGAATCCATACAGATCGGAGTACCAACAAGACTTGCTAATTTGCTGAGAACGCTTCTCGTCCACATGCGCGGAGGCAAGTTGGGGAAGGTGATCCAAAGTGGAATAAGGATCTACTTCAGCCAATTCGTAGAAAAGCAGACACAGTCTCATCCCAAAAGATTCACCCTCAATCTCGAGTCTTCTTTGTTGTTTGAATGATGCCAACAATCCTAGTATACAAAAGAGAATAATCCAGAATATAGAGGGCTGTATTCACAGTCTACTTGACGAGAATCGACATCGGTGGATCATAATCGGTCTACAATCGACCAAGAGTTTGACTTATCAGAGTCGCCCTACCTCTTCTGAGATAAATTGGGATTGAAGGATTGACAATGTTAAAGGAAGGAAGGAGATGCCTTCTTCTTTCAAGTGGACATCCTACATTCTACAGAGGGGAATCCGCTTGAAAGAAAGGATCACTGCTTAGGTAGCCGACCAAATGATGGAAGGAAAGGATTCTGACGTTATCCCATCCTCTTTCGCGGGGTTCTCAACTCACAAATCATCCACTGTCCTTTGATGGCTCTTCATGTCAACAAGTTCGAATTCTGACTCAAAGACCATCTAGCTAGTCGTCTTCCCTAGGGAGTTGGCTGGTTCAAGAGAGACCGGATTGGGTCAGCCCTCGTTCTCCCAAGCGCACATAGAAGACTGCTATAATTAATTCAGATGACCAAGGTATTGTAAATAATGAAACAATTGACCAATTCATTGTCAGATTTTGGAATATCAAAAAAAGAATTCCCCTGAATGAGAAGCCAAGCGAACAACAACATCTCAAGTGAAGGAGGCCTCTCTCAAAAGTTCAGTTAGCCCTCACTATCGATCGTGACTCCCGACTATCGTCCTCACTACGATTGCCTGCTTCCCGCAGCTCTTAAACTAACCAAAACGGAGCTCCTCAACAACCAGAAAGGAGGATCGGCATGGGGATAACTTTAAAAGGTTCGCAAAGAGCCGACGCTTTACAAATTGATCCCAAGATCGAATAGTTCAGCGAATCTATCTAGGTCGTCCCTTAAGCAGGCTCCTCACATAATTCTCATTCGATAGGACTGAAAGGAGTGGTGTTAGATCCGTAGCCACAGAAGCTCTCCAAGATCTTTAAGCGCAGGCTAGCTTAGCTAAAGATGCTACTTAGAGCTAGGCAAATTCTTTTCGTTGGTGCTCTTCTTCCCTTCTTCCCTTCTTCTGGCTCTCACCCTCGTACTTCCTTCCCCCAAGTTGGTCTTAGCCATGCGACAAGGTCCTGCTATTGATGCAAAGTCAACGGTGGTCATTTTAGGACAAAGTAGAGGTTCCGAAGGAATTCAAAAGTGGCTGAAAAACCAATTATGAGTAGGCTTGAGATGAAGATGACGAGTCTGGAGATTCATCACGTTCTTTGTCAGAAAGATGTTCGGTAATGGCAATATTGATCCTACTGCTTTAATCTAACTGAATATAAACTTAGTATGCCCTCCCTCCAAAAGTCGTGACCGTGCTTATTTTTTTGTTGACCAAGACCAAACTCCAAGGCCCCGAGGGAATTGGTCTTCCTTTCAAGTAAGAGCAGATTCCGGAACTATAACTAAGATGGAAGGTAGGTACACGATCCCGCAGGTCTGGTCCAGGTGATGGAGGCATTATTCAACTGATATGTCACAAGATATATCATAAGCGATGTGGTCATGTAAGCGGTAAGTAATCAATGGGAGATACTTCTCACTCCTTCCACAAGATGTGACGTACTTCTATATCAATAACTGTGATTGATTCTTTGACTTCGGAAAGACCGGAGATAGATGAGGGGCAAGTAAGCCTAATTCAGTCAACGGGTTTTGTGAGCAAGGTGGGAGCGACTAAGCAAGCATCTAAGTTCGCCAGGAACCTATAACCGGGGGATGAAACCTGGAACAATCAACCAATTTAAGGAACCAAGGTATTGTAAATAAGAAGCATCCGAAGAAGCTCTTTCATCATCAGCATCCGCTTCATAAGAAGGAAAGCCTCGCTTCCCATGTCAAAAAGGTGGGGAAGGTAGCTTCTTTCTATAGGCGACCGGTAGGTAGGCCGTGGGTGCCTACTAGAAAGCTAGCGCCCTATTTTAATGCTCTCTATCTTACCAATTTCTATCTAAGTTCCTCTAAAGAAGGTCTATCCCCTGAAAGCTAAGATCAATTGCTTGAGTTAGCTGTAGTCATTTACAGATTATTTCTGACTGACCGGCCTTCCTAAATAAGAAATACAAATTTGAGTTCGCATGACATATAGTTCGCTCCGGGCTTGCAGAAGGTTGTTTTCAAGTTTTGGGAGGGTCATCTAGAATTTATCATTATGAGGCTGGATCGCCCATTTCGACCTAGAGATTCTCACCCAGTCTCACGCCATATGTACTGCTCCTCTCGGGTCACTTCAGCTCAGTCAAGTCTTTAGTCTTTAGTCTCGTTCCTTAAGTGACTCTGCGAAGCAAGCCAATAGCAAGCCATCCAATCTGGAAAGTCAGAAGTTCAGATCCCAATCTCGAAGTGATAAGTTCAGATATGGCACCGAACTATACGAGATCAAGGACCCACGAAAGGTGACTTCGCAATGAGGCCCAGCCCCTTCCCTAGCAAAGGAATCTCAGAATTGATTGCAATGAGTCTATTCGCAACGTCCTTTCAGTGATTACTTACGCACGTAATTAGTTGATCAAAATGTTTTATTTAAATTAAAAAATGGAAATCATGTTCTTCAAGTAAGGGAGCAGGCAGATCATCTATATAATTAGTTCTAATTAGTTGATTAAAAAAGAGCAGATTCCATTAGTATTAGTAGAATGTGAGAAAGAAAGCGTTGAGCTGAGCTTTAAGCGCGAGAGGAGGGCGCAGCAGATGAGGTCTAATTGTCTGAGTCCTTTCAAGCTTACTGAAGACTAAGCCAACGCAAGCGCCTCATTTCAAAACATGGTTAAAGGATCAAGCCGAAAGTTTCCAGGTCAACTTGACTTGGTACTGATTCCGGGTAACCAGAGAAAAGTAAGGGACGAAAGAGCTAAGCGAACAGGAAGACACTCGACGCCCATAGAGAAGAAAATAGAATAAAATGGTTAAAGTACTTATTGCTATTGTAACCTAAGCAACATTGTCGTTTCCCAGCCGGATCTAGGTATCGTTTCGCTTGTGCTTCTTTCAACGGGAAGCATTTCGCTCCACTTCCGCTTAAGTACCGTACCTACTATTCCTAAACTATGGTCAGATCAAGCATTTCCTAAATCTATCTGTCCTCCCACGGTCTCAAATAAAAAGGTTAATCGTCGATCGACCTGTTGTTAACTCTAGTCCATCTCTGAACCTTCGAATCTCTTTGCCCCACTAAGCATCTTTTTAGTCGACGCTTCCCTTCCACAAATAAAGACCGCCTTCCTTCCAAGATTGCTGCTCATTAGGGGTACCTTGAATGGTCGATTCCTGCTGTTTTGCTTCGGACAGCTGGAAATCAAGATTTTCTTTCTTCCCCTACTGAGTGAGTTCCCCTTACTTCAAAGAATGGAGTCCTTGTCGTAGAATCTTTTTCTAGTGCGTGCGCATTAGCAATCGTGACTTTCGCCGCTTCATCAATCACCGAAACCTCTTGAAAAATAATAGATGAATTGGAGTGAAGATGAATCAATCTTAAATGAAGAATGCATAAATATCTACTTGACAACAAAACTATTGTAGTACGTTCTTCCTCAAACTCTAAATGAAATAGAGATGAAATTATCAAAACATTCAATGAATTATTTCTTGCTTGTAGAAAAATCTAAAAATGAACTTGAAAAATTAAAAGATAGTTTTCAAATTTAAAATAAAACTATGTTGAAGTCAAACATAAATGTAAAGAATACAAGAACAAAAATACCATGTTCAAGTCAAATTTCTCTAATTTGAATCCTTAATTTGTTAAAATGTGTTGAA